CATGTTTCTACGATCAACGAGACCAGAGAACTATTGGAAGTACAAAACCATGTTTTTGGAAAAAAAAAATACTATAATAGCGGCAGCGTTCTGAAAATAGTACTTCTACCACCACCCCGTGTGCATATGTAGCGGTAGCCGTACTGCACCTTAGGTCAAAACTGGTTGTCTACGCAGGGACGCAGTCTAAGGGTTATAAATAGCCAAATACGTCGATACGAAAATAATAATTCTGTCAATGAATAATATTATTTTATTTTTCGATGTTATAATTCGTATTCTTATTACTAGCGTAGTTTACGCAAAATGGAACTACACAATATTATATCATAAAATTGTCACAAATCTAGGTGATGTGTGATAGCCGTGGGGTGGCACGTCGTTGTCGATTTGCAAGTGTATACTGGCTCCGTTCGTTGATGGTCTGCAGTCGAATGATGCTTGCGAATTGGAACGGTGTATCGTTGTCGAGTGTTGGTCTGTGTTGTGGTCTTACTCTGGTTAGCAGGTACTTGTTGACGGTTTGAAGGTATTGAATGGACTGACTAGATTGCTTGGCTTTGCTTTGAGTGGCTGCCCTAGGGCATATTTACTGTGCCAGGCGTTTAGCCTATACCAGTGGGTTGAATTTTTATTTGTGAGTGATGTATGAATATTAATTAGTGGTTGCCCATTTTAACGGACGATTTTTTGGGGTTTTACGACGTGTTTCACCAGGTTTGTGACCGAGGTTTCTTAAATGTGGGTACTTAGAGTATGAGTTCTTGTGAAAAATCGCAGAAGCCTGACTGGTAATGGTTTCTCTAATGGTTTTTAATCCTGCGGAGCCGCGTAGAATATCATTCCTGACAAACGTGGGGTTGCCCGTGATGGTGCGGAGGCCAATTGTTTGTACATCCTCAATTCTTTTCCATTGATGTGTCGAAACAAGGGGAGCCCAAGCTGCGTATGTTAGAATAGTGATGACATACATTTTAAGAATTAGGATTTTAGTTTTTAAGGGTATTGGGCTTTTCTTATTGATTAGGGGGTATAATATGCTCCTGACAATGGTGGCTCTTTTTATGATATTGTTTATGAGCTGTGTTACACCAATGCGTCTGTTAAGTGTTACACCGAGGTATTTCACATTATCAGACCATTTTATTGGGTGATCGTTGATTTTAATTGGAGGAATATTTTTGGTGTTTTTGTTTCCGAAGAGGAGTGCGACGGTTTTTTGTTCATTTATCTTTAGGCGCCATCGTTTGAACCATTCTGCGGCCAGATCTACTTGTTTTTGCAGTATGAATGCTGCCCATCTGGCGTTATGGTTTTGGGCGGAAAACATTGTGTCATCAGCAAATAACGCTAGGTTTGCCTTTGGAATTAATGGTATATCATTTGTATATATTAGGAATAGGGTGGGTGAAAGACATGAGCCTTGGGGTACTCCAGAGAGGATTGGGTGGCGTGTAGATGTTTGGTCTTCTTGTTTGACTGCAAATGTTCGGTTTTCAAGGAATGAGAGTATGATTTTGATTAAAGCAGGGTGGATATGCATTTTGTTCATTTTAAAGAGGAGGCTATCATTCCAAACTTTATCAAAAGCTTTTTCCACGTCAATAAAAATTGAGGCTGTATTGATTTTAGAGTTCTAATTGACAGTTAAATCATCTATCAGATTGGTCAATTGTTGAACCGTCGAGTGACCTGGACGAAATGCAAACTGTTCTTTCCTAGTTGTTTTAGAAGTGGTTTTTTGGATGTTTTCAAGGATTACCCTTTCGTAGACTTTCTAAATGGAGGACAGCAAGGCAATAGGACGGTAGTTTTCAGGAAGATAGTGGTATTTACCCGGTTTGTGGATCGAGATTATTACTGCTTTTTTCCATGTGGAAGGGAAATAATTGAGTCTTAAACATCCATTTAAGATGTTTGTAAGGGTCAATAGTTTATTCTAAGGGAGGAGCTTTAGAGCTGTATTAGTTATGAGATCTTCACTGGGAGCTTTCCTTTTAGGCAAGTGTTTGATGATTAGTTGAACTGAACCGGGTGTTGTGTAGAGGTCGGAAGAAGCGATAGGTGAAGTACGGATGTTGTGAGCCATTTCTTCTACTTCTAAGATGTTTGGTCCGGGGTTTGGCTTAAATTTGTTTTTCTAGGGATTCCGCTATGAGTTCAGCTTTAGCTTTTGCGTCGTAAATTAGACCGTTTGGGCCTCGGAGAGGATGAATCACTGGTTTTTCGTTAAGTAAGCTTTTTTTTATTTTGAATAGTGATCCGTCACTAGTGTCAAGGGAGGTAAGAAACCTGTCCCACTCATCTTGTTTATAAGTTTTTAAAATAGATCTGATAAATTTCGTTTTGGCGTTCAGCCTGGATTTGACCGCTGGATCTCTGTTTCGTTGCCATTCCCGACGTAGCCTGTTCTTGACCTTTATTTCATTAAGTATTTTAGATGGGAGGGTGTCCCTTTTCCGTCCTGTTATAGATATGTGCATTCTTCGACTGTCGATTTTATGGTTTTTGTGAAAGCTGATATAGCATGATCTATATCCTGGATGGAGGCAGTGCATGGGTGAGTGTTTGTAGTATCATTGGAGAGTAAGGTAGATAATTTTTTCCAGTTTACTTGTTTACCTTGTGTAGGTGGTGAAGATGTTATGGGGAGCTGGAAAACTCTAGAAGGATTGGGTTGTGGTCTGAAGACAGTTGATTTAAATTAGTTTGACGAGTAAGCAACGGTGTTCTGATTAAAGCTATGTCTAAGATGTCCGGACGGTGACCGATGTATGTTGGAAAATGAGTTGGAGTGCTAGGTGCCACTATGACGTAGTCGTTTTGAGAAAGATGGTTGAAGAGGATTCGACCAGAAGGATTAGATACGCGGCTGTGCCACATAGTGTGTTTGGAGTTGAAGTCTCCAGCAGCGATGAACCATTCTGCGTTGTTGGTTATAGTATCTAGGTCAGAGGGTTCAAGGGGGACCTGTGGTGGTTTGTATATTGAGCTTATGGTTATTTCGGCGTTGGCTATTTTAATTTTAATAGATGTTGAATGGAGTTTGGTTTGAAGAGATATTTTGGTATGAACTATTCTCCGGTGAACTAATACAGCCGTTCCTCCGTGAGCGGGAGATCCTCGTATCGGAGGCAGGTCTGTTCTGTAAGTGAAGTAGTTTGGGATTTTTAGCTTCGCCGAAGGTTTGATTCGAGTTTCACTTAGGAGAATAATGTCAATTTTTAATGTGGATGCAAGAGCATGAAGTTCGTTTAGTCGTTTTCTGATTCCGTTTGAGTTCCAATGAATAATTTTTAGGTTATTCATTGTTATTGGTTAAGAGAGATATAAAGGATTTTATTGTTAAGGAGAAAACTGCCTTGGGGTCTTCCGCCGAAGAGATAGCCGTGAGAAGCTCTGACAGAAGGGTTACGACTTTTTCGTTGTTAATAGTATGTTTGTTCTTGGTGGCACTTGCGTAGTCAAGATGATTAGGACCCGGTTTGGGTAAGGAGATCGAAATATCTGTTGTAGTCGTATGAGTTGCGGAGAATTGATCTTTCGGAAGTTTCTTGGGAGTGGTTTGCTTGGCAGTTTGGATGTTTACGATTTTTTTGTATGCAGGACATCCACGGAAGTTTGCAGTATGTGGACCATCACAGTTACTGCAAGTCGGTGTTTGGTCAAGAGTCTTGTTGCATGCGTTTGTCAAGTGAGAGCTGGCACATTTAACGCAACGTGGTGCGTTGCCGCAGTTTTGGAAGCCATGGCCGAATTTTTGGCAAGTATGGCATTGAGAGGGTCCAGTTTTTTTGTAAGCTTCGACGCTGATTTTGAGATAGAATAATTCAGATAATTCGAAGATTTATTTGGCTTGCGGGCCGGAAAGGATGACCAGACATAAGGGCATAGGTTTGTGACTAGGTTTTTGACTAGATTGTCGAAAGTGTCCGGTATTTATACCCTTTTCGACAATCTAGTCCGTCGTTGATTGGTCCGCGTAATACGTGTAGACGAATGAAAATCATACCGTTGAACGGACATTCCTATTTATCATGTGTGGTTTTTACTCGTCATACCGCATCTTTTTGCCAATCGTATTACTTGGTGGTCTTGAAAAAGACCTTTTTCTATATAACGGTTGATTGTGGTCACTCAGCTTGATGCGTAAAATGCGGTGACGGCCACGCATCCAGTTCATGTACCAAACCACCTGACGTGTCGCCCAAATGCTGCAACTGTGGGGAAAACCATACTGCAAACTATCGAGGATGCTCCTTCTACACAAACCTTACGAAACAAAAAGAACCCCAAAACAGAAACCCACCAAGTAACTCCAATCATCCTACAATCATTGAATCTCCGCCTGTACAAAATCCAATCATCTTACCAAGCAACCCATCACCTCAAATTCACTCCAAAAAATCATTTGCTGAAGTTACCTGTGCTCAAAAACTACCTTTGTCTGAGCCCTCAATCACTGTCTCCAAAGTACTACAAATAATACACAGACTTCTAACATCCGCACAGAAATGTAAGGATCTCACGATCAAGGATTCTATCATTAACACAATCATGTCAATCATCTCAGAAATACCGACCCAAAATGAATAACTTAAATATTCTTTTTTGGAACTGCAATGGTATAAAACATAAAATCAATGAACTACAAGTATTCGCACGACTAAACAACATCCACATCATCCTCTTACAAGAAACTAGATTAAATCCATCAACCATTCTCAAAATACCAAATTACTTCACCTACAGACAAGATCGCCCACTCAGACCCAGATCTCCACCAGCTGGTGGCACTGCCATACTTATACGTAAGAACATAGTACATAACCATGAAGTCTTGAATACTACTCTTGACTCAACCACAGTTACGATCAAGCTCGGTAGTGAACAAATTTGTATCACATCTATGTACAAAAGCCCAAATACTCCCTTACAAACAAATGATCTGGACATCATAACCAACCACGGAGGCCTCTTTTTAGCGGCAGGAGACTTAAATGCAAAAAAACCAGTCCTGGAACTGCCGCACCACAAACCAGGCAGGCAAAACTCTTCTACAGCACATGGAATCGTACAACACCTACTCAATCTGCGCACCAGACTCTCCAACACATCACTCTTACAATCCAAAACACAGGCCCGAAATACTGGACATCGCACTTGCAACCCTTCCCTATAGCGAACTCACCCTAACCAACCATAACGAGCTAACCTCTGACCACAATCCGATTGTAATGACCATAAGCGACACTCCCATAACAATCAACCCTCCAGCAGCCAAGAAGAGGATAAACTGGCAAAAATTCAAACAAGTACTACTGCGTAATTATCCTAAAAAGATAATCAACTTGAAAAATCCTCCAGAAATTGATAACGAGGTCCTACTCATTACCTCATCAATCCAATCAGCAATAACGGAATGTTCTTATACTGCAAACCAAACCCAAGTCTCTGAGCTCTTCCCACCCAGGATTTTACAAGAGATCACCATCAAACGGAACCTTAGGAAAGACTGGCAACGTACAAGAGACCCAGCAGTCAAGACTATGCTAAATTCTCAAATATCGTGCGTCAGAAACCTCCTGAAGGAACACCGCCAATCAACATGGGACAAATTCTCAAGCACACTCTACTTCCAAGACCGTTCCCTTTATAAATTAAATCGTCGTCTACTCCACAAAAAACCAGCAATTGCTGCATTTAAATCTATCTCTGGTCAAAAATTCTATGATACCAAATCCAAACTAGAACTATTCGCCGACACAATGAAAGAGCAGTTCACTCTCAACCAGGGGACCGACCTCCCAGAAGTTACATACGCAATTGAAGAGCTCAATAGAAATACAACCAAATCAACTCTATTCTCTTCCCCCAAGGAAAAATGGGAAATAATAAAAAATTTACCACCCGGCAAAGCTCCAGGCTACGACAACATACCAAATACTGCACTCAAACACCTCCCAGCCTCTGCTGTTGTTAGTTTAAATAATATTTTCACCGCTTGCCTCAGGCATTCTCATTTTCCTAAACCATGGAAAACTGCTTCAATAGTTATGATCCCCAAACCCTACAAAGATCACAGTTTAGCAAATAACTATAGGCCAATATCATTACTTACTACAATGTCCAAAGTATTCGAGAAGGTGCTTCAAAATCTCCTCACGAAACACATCAAGCCGAGAGCTGAACAACATGCGTTCAGACATGGTCATTCGACGACAACCCAACTTTCTAAACTCATAGACGATCTGGTAATCAATACTAACAACAACAGACACACCGCAGCCATATTCCTAGACATGGAAAAAGCTTTTGACAAAGTTTGGCACGATGGACTAATCCACAAACTTCACACAATGTCTACGTCCCCACACCTCTAGTAAAAATCATACAATCCTTCTTGTCAGACCGAACCTTCAGAATCAAGATCTCTGACCATACATCTACAGAAAGAACGATAGAAGCAGGTGTCCCTCAAGGCTCGTGTCTCTCCCCCCTTCTATACAGCCATTATATAAACGATCTCCCAACCACTCCATATGTGTCCACGTCCCTATTCGCTGACGACACGATGTTTTATTCCAACAAAACTTCTAAGAATATAGCAATAATCCGTTTACAGAGACAAGTAACAACAACAACTGACTGGATTTTAAAATGGCGTCTTAAACTTAACACCCAGAAAACAGTTTCAGTACTCTTCGGGAGTAGCCGAAATGCGCCCAAACGCCAAATCAAAATTCAAGATACCCCAATTACTTGGAAAAACCGCGCTACTTACCTCGGTGTCGTCCTCGACAAACCACTTCGGCTTCACCAACACGTGAAATCTTGCGTTCACAGGGCCAAACAAACCAGAGCTGCACTATACCCAATTTTAAATAGTAAATCCCGAATACCAATGTCAACCCGTCTCACCATATACAGGATATACATAAGGCCAATTCTTCTATACGTTGCTACAGCATGGGGCCCACTAATAAGCGAGTCAAATTGGAGGAATATCGAGGCTGTCCAAAACGTGGCTATTCGAACAATCACTAGTGCCCACTTCCTCACCAGGAACAATAAAATTCTCCACCCGCCCATCAGTTCCATCCGCAGTGAAGTAGAGAGAGCTACAAAAATATTCCTGCATCGAAACTCTCAATCGTCATTCTCTCACATAAGGGAGCTAGGTACATTACCCGCCCCTCAAATAATTTCACGCCGTCCTCGACCTCTAACATTTACACAATAAGACATGAACCTCAGTCATTAGTAAAAGGCAAACTGCCTGAGACTAAATAAAACAGCTTCGGCTTTCATTCAAAGCAAAGCAAAGAAACGGTTGTTTGTTCCGTAACAATATAGTGATTTGTTGTTCAGAACATATATTGTCGTAGCTAGTTGCAGTGGTTTCAATAACTTGACAAGAACTTCACATCTATTCCAATCTTCTAATATTTCCAATTTTTCGCAATTTTTGTATTAAAATATTCTCTATCTCAGTGGTTCCCAACCGGGGGGGAATTCCCCTAGGGGGGAATTTCTGTACTGTTTGGGGGGGAATTTGATTAAAAATCTTTAACGGAATTTTGGCCATTAATGATCAACTCTTATCCAAAAGTGACAGAAAAAGCTTTCCGTGCATTAATCCCATTTGTATCTACGTATCTTTGTGAATCTGGGTTTTCCACACTTTTGCAAATAAAAAACAAACAAAGAAATCGATTGGATGTGGAAAATGATATGCGTTGCGCGTTGTCAAAAATATCTCCAAGGATTATGGACTTGGTGAGGAAAAAACAATCCCAAATTTCTCATTAAATTTTTTCTAGCTTTCTCCAAAATTGTATTCAAAAATATAAAAATAAAGACATAAAGACATATTATTATTAAGACATTAAGATTAAGTTGATTTATATTTTATTTTTAGAATTATAAAAAAATATATGTCATTAGTTAATAAAAAATAATTATTTCGTATCATTAAAACAAAAAAAGGTCTTTTTAATTCTAATTTAAGGGGGGCATAGAATAAAAAAGGTTGGGAACCACTGCTCTATCTGATATAACTGCTACAACAGCTGTACGCAGTATAAGCAAACGGTCTAACATTGCTAGGGATGAATTCCATCTAGTGGGACAACTTTGCAATAGAGTTAACTGTTGTTTACCTGTTTGTTGTAGATACAATTGTAGTGCTTTGGATCGCTTTGTTGATTGTCTAAAAGAAGCTACAATTAATGAAGATGTTTTTAACAAACGACTACAAACGTTTTCATCGAGACCTTTCTTGATAGCTAACTGAATTGTATGTGTATCGCATCTACTCGAATACAAATTGAATTGATCTTCTAAATTTTTGACTGCGTTTGTACTGTTTGATGCGTTGTCATGGGTTATACCAGTCACTTTGTTAGTTAAGATCCATTTTTCTAAAATGTCTATAATTTCATCTTTTAGGTGGTCAGCTGTGTGGGATTCTGTCATTTCTTCAATGGATAATGTTACATTGCACAATGTCCAATTTTTATCAAAATAGTGACCAGTATATGTAATATAAGAATCTATAGCTAGTGAACTCCATCCATCGGTAGTTAGAGCGATACCATTAATACTTTCTAGCTCGTTTTTTGTATCATTTACTTTATTTTCGTACAATTGTTCTATGCGAGTACTTATTGTTTTTCGACATGGTATTTGATAATTCGGCTCAATTAAATTCATGAGATTTTTAAATTCATTATTCTCAACAAAAGAAAAAGGCAACAAGTTACTGGTAATAATTTCACAAATGCTTTGTGTTATCATTTCTTTGCGTTCACGGTTTAATGGTTTATCTTTTGTTGTTTTTTTTATGTACCTATGCTCGTTTTAAACGTTTTTGAGGTAGAATAGTTTGTGATGACTCAATGGACGTTGAGGCTATATTATTATGTTCAGTATATGTTGATGATGAGGATGTTTGATCACCTTGATCATTTGATGTCGAGGCTGTAGCTATCTGTTCACTATCGCTTTGTTCGGCATCGTCGTGATTATCATACACCCTATGAAGTATAAATCAAATTAGTAAATTCATAATTTCAAATGAGTAACACTTGAACTTGAAAAGTATTGGAAACATAGGAATAAGTAGTTTAGGACGTTTAGGTAAGGGTCTAGGTTTGAATTTCAATATCAAAAGTTGTAAACAATATTTTTTGCATTTTTTCAATGCAAATTTGATAATTATTAAATACTAAAATAACAATCTATTAACATCGTTTATAGAACATTTATAGAACGTCAATCTCGTGGCCAACCGACATTTTAACATTTTTAAAATGAAAAAAAAGACAGTAAGTCGCTCTCGTTGCGGAGTAGGGGGTCGAATGTATCTCATCTTTGCTACGTAAAGTGAGGTGGGTTTATTAAATCATAAAGCAATGATAATTTATTTATTCAATAAAACAATTATGAGCAGAGCATCAGTAGAATATTGAAATTATAAGCAATTATAAAAGTTTAAAAAGTTAGTAGTAAAAGTTAAAAAAAAAAACGGGAAAAAAAGAAAAAAGTGTGCAAAAAATTGGTTATCGTCTGATGGTATCGAGCCAGGAATCCATGTTTCTTACGAGGTATGGGTATCCCATTCCACTCAGCCACCACACTCATACACCTTTTAAATACGTTTTAATACGGTTTTTATACGTTTTGTACAGCAATTGTAAAATAATAATATTTTTTTAATGAATTTATATTCATGTATTTTTAATATTCTATAATACATTAAAAATATTTGTATGTTTTCAATTATTTTAATTTATAAAATTATCACTTTTATTCTAAGTCATGAAAAATGGTCTAATTTTAAATTAATTAAAATTGAACTTAAGTTACCTTTTTCTGGTTGATTGTAGAGTATGTTTTTCTTTTTTGTGCCATACGTTGTAATGAGTCCACAATGGTGAAGTTGATCCATTGTTCATCAATTCAATATCACAAATTAAACACTTAGCTGAATTATTATTCTCTGTACGTTTAAAAAACTGCCAAACTTTGCTTGGTGCCATGATTTAAAATGAAGTGCTTAATCACATCTTGTATACAGTATACAATTTATTATTACAAAATAATTGTCGGGTTTTCATGTTGTATGTTATCGCAAAAGTCAAAGTGGAAGTCTACAATCTTAATTTACTACCAAGTGGATTTTCCTTTTAACCGATAGGCGATAATAGATAGATACTTATTTTACTTATAGTTGAATATACATTTAATATTTTCAATATAAAATTATAAACCAACTGTACATATCAGATATTTTATTTTCATTTTTTTATTTTCTATAATACAACAGTTGAACCAAATTTACAAATGTATAGTGTATACTAGCTAGTGAATATTTACTATTTAGTATTATTCATTTCAGTTGTACTTATCCTACAGAATAATTCAAGCTAGGGCTGTATCATATAAAGACATTTTTTATTTTTTAATAACTAAAACTTAATACTGTTCACAAAGTGAAGTGCAAAAATATGTATCTGTTTTACAATTTTAAAGTTCAAATAATTTTAGATTCTGAGTGGAACGATGAATGTTTTTTATTTAAAATAGAAAATGTTCGTTTTTTTATATTAGAATTTATAACGAACAATTTTTATTTTCTGCTTTAGAATACAGAAATCCACAATGTGAAACCCAAATATTCGGATTTTCAAATCTGAAAATTCGAAATTTGGATTTGAAAATCCAAACTAAGGTTTTTACAACTTAAAATCCAAAATCCGAAATCAGGATTTTTCGGATTTTCGGAGAATCCGGATTTATTTCACACCACTAATAAGTATTGAAGATAGGGGTGGGGGTGGGGGTGAGACCTGACATGTATTGAATAGGTATGAATAGGAGGGGGAGGGTTAAGTACTGGTCAGGTAAGACAAAGGTAGGATAGGAGGGGTGCGATCGCATAGAACTATAGGCTAAACGGAGTAGTCTGGATTCGTGAGATTTTCATACTTCTGATGTATGCTTAGAAATATGGTATAATGGTATAATAGATTTAAGTATAATTTTAAAGGTGAGGGTAATAGAGGTGTATTAGCATTTTATTTATTATAATTGATTGATATAATATTATTTATTATTTATGTAACTATCAATGTATGTATGCTTGGAGGTATGGCACCTATACTAGAATATTCGATTTATTATTTAAGTATAATTTTCAACGTGTAGGTGATGGAGGTATATTATATGACTACTATATTTTTAGTGATATACATTGATGTGAGGGTATGGTGTGGTATGTACTAGGTATTGATGGTAGGTAGGGGAATGGTGTGACACTCATTAGGTATTGATTGATGTGGAATGGTATGGTATGGTATGATGTATATGGTTGTGTACGTACTTGATAGCAGGTGTGTGGATAGGTTAGGATGATTAGGGGGACTAGACATCATAGTAGGCGTGTGACGAGGTTAATATATAATATATAGGGCTAGGAAAATGAAGCACTAAAAACCTACAATAAAGGAATTAAAAAATTGCCAATAATGCTACAAAAAAAAGCATTTAACCAGGAAAATGCAACTAAAAAAAGACTTAAACATTTTTAAGTTTAGCTGAAAAATATTTTTAACAACTAAGTACAATTTATAAATATTGAAAAAAAAAAAATTAAAAACTGTTTTATTATATTTTAGGTACCTGTTTATTATATAAATATTAAAAAAGACTATAAGATATTTTAAATTTCTTTGATATTTTGTAATATTTTGAAAACAATTTTTCCGATAAGGCGATAATATTTCACTACGAATTCACAAAATACATATAATTATACAATTAAAATAAATGAAAAAATAATAATTTAGATAAATATGTACGTAAATGTTAAAAAATATGCTTATAATTAACAAAAACCAATTAAAAAGCTAATAAACTGACAAAAAAGTACCAATAAAGCATTTATTTACAAATATCACAAGAAAAAGCAAAAAAAAAGCAAAAACAAAATTGCATATTTGAACTCTGTGATGAATGAATCGAATTTTGTTTTTGATTAACTATGTCCTGGAGTACTATGAAAGAAAATGCAAATGCTACAAAATCCTAGCCCTAATAATATATATATATACTAGCTGATCCCGTGCACTTCGTTTCCCGTTCAATGTACCAACTCTATATGCCTCAAACTGTGTTCAATTCGTTATTTATAATATTCGTTGTATGGTGTTCAAAATGTATCTTAACTTTTTCGTTGGCCGGAATAAAAATTCTAATTTGCAGCAGTATATTATCAGGTAGGCAATCTACCTGCGGTAGATCGCGGACCCCGTGCTGTTTGTACGTAACTGTATGATTTAACTCTTATGTATTAAGTTATAGCAAATTTGTCGTGTTCCACCTATAATGGATTAATATAATCTATTAATACAAAATCCTAACCTACCCTAACCGTACTAATATCAGATGAATAAAAAAAACCAAATTTAACCGTTTTAAAATAGCCTGTCTTCTTCCCAGAGGTTTATTCTATACATAAACATTCATTTATATGTATATATATTTATAAAAAATAATACAAATCAACAAACATGCCCGAATAACCAATAGCAACCAATATATATACACTGTTTAGCTCTACTGTTGTATTCTTTACATCCAGATTTCCTAATTTTCCGATGGATTTTCTTAAAATTTTCTTTCGTAAAAACCTTCTCCTGGTAATTACGAACATCTTAAAAAAAAATTGAGCCAAATCGGACCAGCCGTTCTCGATTGATGAGGTAACGACATTTTTCACTCTCCATCTTTATATATATATAGATAACTAATTATTGACTAACATTATCGGACTTTATTTATGCCTAAAACCTGCTCCGTGATATCCTCTTTCATTAAAAAAATGCATGACAATTGGATAAGAAGTTTCGAAGCCAAACCGTAACAAAGATTTCCTCTTTTGCTTGATTTAAGTTTTATATATATATAGATGTGCTATCTCAATGACGTATATTTGAATGGTGATTTTTTGAAAAGGATCCAAGTTACATTTTTGACAAAAATAGTTTTGTTGTACATTATTCATCCTCTTATGTAAACACATATCATATGCTTATAATTTGTAAATCAAAGACTGATTCAATAAAATTAGGTACATAAGTTTTTCTTTATTTTTAATTTTAATAAAAAAATATTGTTTTTTTAAGATTGTTATTCATTTGTTTATATTCAAAGTTTGTTATTTAGTTGTATTGTTATCTATTTAATTGGATAAAATAAATAAGAAGATATTATATTATTTTAAAATGTGACTATTAATGTGTCTTGCATTACGTGTACGCCGTCCAATGTTTGTTCTTCTCATAGGAGGCATGATTCAAGCATAAAAATTCTCTCCAAAAAACAATAGTCGTTTTTGATTGAAAAAGTTCATAGATAACATAAAACGATAATGTTTCAAAGTAAAATGAATAATGTGCCAACTATTATATTTGTTTACTCTAAAGTTATAAGTGTCTATAATAAAAAATGTATATCAACCAGAATATAAAAATATATTTTTTTTTTCAATTTTTATTATTATTTATATTATATTTATATTTATATTTTTATCCGCTAGAGGGTGCCACCGGTGTAACTCAGTTTTTGTCTCTAAATCTCTAACTAACATGAATTAGGTCCATAATTTATGCTATAAACCCGCTCACCGACATTCTCTATCATTTAAAAAAAATTTGAGCAAAATCGGCCAAGCCGTTCTCAACTGATGCTATTTCTAATTTTTTGTCTCCATTTTTATATATAAAGATATCACT